GTCCATGACACAGGGCCTCAACATCTCAGTGATTTGTGGTCCCCAACACATAAGTATTTATTTAATTTGCATTTCTTGGATCACTGATGACAGTATACAGACATGATTAAAGTTTTTTGACTGTTAAAAGTGACTCACATCCCTTATTTATTTTAATTTTTCGTTCCTATCTTTGCATTTTGATTTCTAAGCATCCTTAATGCATTGAGCTTGTTGTTGTTGTTAAAATACCATCGAGTCAGTTTCAACTCATAGGACCTTACACAGGGTTTCCCAGGAACAGCTGGTGGGTTTGAACCACTGACCTTGTAGTCAGCAGTCAAGTATTTACCCTACAGCTCCACACCAGGACTTAATTAATATGCTTTTATTATTTGTGCTAGAATCACCCCCCCCCAAGGGTGTTATTTGTGTTTTGTTTATTATATTTTTGACTCATAAAACCAAAAGCAAATCCACTGGTATCAAGTCAATCCCAACAGCACAGAACTGCTCCAGAGGGCTTCTGAGGTTGTAAATCTTAATGGGAGCAGCCAGCCTCATCTTTCTCCCATGGTGAGGCTGGTGGGTTAGAACTGCTGACCTTGTGATTAGCAATCCAGTCCTTAACTCGTTACACCACCAAGCTTCTTGGACTTACGGTAATGGTTATATGCCATGGAGTTAGTTCTGACTCATAGCGACCCTGTGTTTCATAGGGTTTCTGAGACTGTAAATCTTTATGGGAGCAGAAGCCTCATCTTTCTCTCAGAGTAACTGGTAGATTTGAACTGCTGACTTTGTGGTTAGCAGTTAAGCTCGTGATCCTTTCTTAGACTCATAGAAACTTCAATTTTTTTCTGAATACTTTTATGATTATGTACTTAAAGATGAGGCTTTCTGCTCCCATAAAGATTTACAGTCTTGGAATCCCATACAAGTCACTGAGTCTGAACTGACTCAATGACACACACCACCACTACCACCACCACCCACAGTCCTTTGCTTTTATTCTCAAAAAAGCTTTCCCCACACAATTGTCAGAATATCACCCTATATTTTCATCTACTTGTTTTATAGAATTTTGATATTTAGATATTTAGCCTTTTCCTTTTTAGTTATGAATGTAATATGCTTATATAGTATCTTAGAAAATACCGAGAAAGAAAGAGAGAGAGAGAGAGAAAGATCATTCTGAATAACATCATCCCTAGGTAACCGTGGTTAACATTGTAACATATATTTATCCAGACATTTTTATATATGAACTTGAGTACATATAAATATGCACTTATATTTTTCAAAAGACAGAATCAAACAATTCAAACATCTTTTCACTTCATATGTTTGCTGTCGTTGTTAAGTGCTGTCGAGTCGGTTCCTACCCATAGTGACCCTGTACAGGGTTTCCAAGAAGCAGCTGGTGAGTTTGAACCACCGACCTTGCGGTTTTAACCAACTTTGCAGTCCAGCACATTAACCCACAGAGCCACAATATACCATAAATACTATTCATTAATCTGTATCTTCAAATATTTATACCACCATTTTCGTGGATCTGTATTCCACCATTTGCATGCCCAAACAAACACACTGTTGTCAAGCTAACTCACCTGCAGGATAAAACCATCAGAGCGGCTGGTGGGTTTGTACCACCGATTTTTGGTTAGCAGTCAAGAGCTTTAACCAGTGTGCCACCCTTTCATTTGCATGCACTGCCATTTATTTAACCAGTCTTCATGTTCTTTGAATATTCATATTGTTTCCAATTTTTGAACCTTATAAAAATGCAGGAAGAAAATACTTCCCCATATAAATCAATATTGATAGCAGCATTTATATCGCACTAAGAGTCTTGTGTGGTGCCCTGGACCACGAGGTTGGTTTGAACTGCAAGGACGCCGGTTCAAACTCAACAGCCACTCCTCAAAAACCCTATCGCTATGAGTCAGAACTGACTCGAAGGTACTTAACAACAACATATTGCGCTAACTCTTTTCCAGGCACTATGCCAAGTGCATTACAAATTTTAAGCCATTCTAATCCTCACAAAACTGTATAAGGTAAGAGTTATTATCCAAGGCTTAGAGAGACCGTTCAGTGAGTAAGAGGCAGGGCTAGATTGGAGCTGATGGTCTTGACCACTCACACTGTTGTCTCCCAATAAAGTGACTGCTCTTCATCCAGTCATTAAAACCAGGACCTAAGTGTTCATGTGGAGCAGCGTTTCTCACAGTGTCTTCCGGGAATCAGGAGCACCAGTAGTTCCTGGGAATTTCTTAGACCTGTACCGTCTCAGTCTCCACCTAGAACTAACTAGAGAATCAGAAACTCGGGTGAGCCCAACAACTCATGTTGTAATACATTCTCCCAGAAATTTTGGTGCATGCTTGGGTTTGAGGACCACTGATGTAGAGAATGTATGGAAAGGACCCACGTCTCAGGAGCTTGAAGACCAGAATCTCAATTCTACTTTGGGATTATTGGTTTGTGACCTTAAGATCAGTTTTCTCATCTCTAAAACAGGGGCAGGAGCTCAGGCTAGGAGCTGGAGAGCAGTGGGCTGGCTGGCTGCTAGCACACTCAAGCTCTGTTGTGGTGGTTGTTCGGTGCCATTGAGTCGGTTCCAACACATAGTGACTGGTGTAGGTAGGGTTTCCTAGGCTTTAAATCTTTACGGGAGCAGAATACTACATCTCTGTCCCATGAGTAGCTGGTGGATTTGAACCGCCAACCTTGTGGTTCTCAGTTCAGTGTTTATCCTATGGAGCCACCGTGTTCCCCATTCAAGCTCTGCCGTTCTATAATTCTATGGGATTGCCACAAATTAGTATCAACTCGAGAGCAGCTAACAACAACAAGACCATTAGGAGTCTGTTGGTGGTGCAAAGGGTTAAGTATTGGCAACTAAATGAAAGGCAGTTGTCCACCCCAAGGCACCTTGGGAGAAAAAAAAAGACCCAAAATTCTACTTTTGAAAAGTCAGCCATCGAAAACCCTCTTGGAGCACAGTTCTGTGCTGACATGAATGGGATCGCGTGAATGAGTCGGAATGAACTCAGCTGTTGGTTTGCTTTTATAACCACAGAAATTTGGTACATGCCAAAAGTCATAAAGAAGTATTATAATTTATACTGGGAGCAGGGGTAGGAACTGAAAAGAACTGTTAGAAAGTAAAATGCATATTGTAAAATTCTCCTTGTGATATTTTGAAGGCACTCTAAGGAGACATACATTAAAAAAAACCAAATTGTCACAAAATAGCAAACTAACAATGCCCTGCTTTCTGTAGGTCTCCGAATTAAGACAACAGCTTCGGATACGAGGCTTGCCTGTGTCCGGTACCAAAACGGCTCTCATGGACCGACTGCGGCCCTTCCAGGACTGTTCTGGAAATTCCGTGCCGAACTTCGGTGATATAACAACCGTCACCTTCCCTGTGACACCAGCCAGCACCCTACCTAATTACCAGTCTTCCCCTTCCACCAGTGCCTTATCCAATGGCTTCTACCACTTTGGTAGCACCAGCTCCAGCCCTCCCATCTCCCCTGCCTCGTCTGACCTCTCGGTTGCTGGGTCCCTGCCAGAAACCTTTAACGACGCTTCCCCCTCCTTCACCTTGCACCCCTCCCCAGTTCACGTTTGCACGGAAGAAAGCCTCATGAGCAGTGTGAATGGGGGCTCGATGCCCTCAGAGCTGGACGGGCTGGACTCAGAAAAAGACAAGATGCTGGTGCAAAAGCAGAAGGTGATAAATGAGCTCACCTGGAAACTCCAGCAAGAACAGAGACATGTAGAGGAGCTGAGGATGCAACTCCAGAAACAGAAACGGAGTAACTGCGTTGAGAAGAAGACTTTGTCTTTCTTGGCTGCCCCCATCAAGCAGGAAGATGCAGTCTCTAGCTGTCCCTTTGCATCCCAGCAGGCATCTGCGAAGAGGCAAAGCAACAGCTCAGAGAGCGAAGCTGCTCAGCTCTTACCTCTTGGGAGCACACGTTGTGTAGAGTCCTCAGGTCAGACCAATGTACTTTCTTCCACGTTTCTAAGCCCTCAGTGCTCACCTCAGCATTCCCCACTTGGGACTCTGAAAAGCCCACAGCACATCAGTTTGCCTCCATCACCCAACAACCACTATTTCCTGCCCTCATCTTCCAGTGCTCAGGGAGAAGGGCACAGTGTCTCTTCACCTGTCAGCAGCCAGGTGTGCACCGGTCAGGTAAGAACTCACTGCACCCCTTTCCAGATGGAGGGTCTGAGTTTGCAAATGCTAGAGAGCTCAAGTTGGCAATGTCAATGTGTAGGGCTTACCCAAGTCCAGCAGTAACTCTCAGGCACCACAACTTGCTAATTTTCACAATAGAACAAGCTCACTTAGCCTCTAAGCCTGCAAACATTGTCTGTAAAGGGAGAAATCACGTGTTTGGCTTTGCAGCCATGCAGTTCTGCCTTTGTAATGCAAAAGCAGCCATAAGTGTGACTCATAAACAAATGCTCACAGTTGTGTTCCAATAAAACTTTATTTACACAAACAAGCAATGGGCCACACTCAGTTTGTGAGTCATAGTTAGTTGAGCCCTACTCTTAAAAGTCCTAGCAAAAAGTACAAATAAAGCCAGTTGCTCACAAGGAGACTCCAGTTCATAGTGACCCCGGACTAGAACTGGCCTCCATAGGGTTTTCAGTGACTGATTTTTCAGAAATAAATCACCAGGCCTTTATTTTGAGGCACTTCTGAGTGGACTAGAGCCACCAACCTTTCCATCAGTAGCCAAGCATGTTTGTAGTCCCCAGGGACTTCAGGCCAAACCAATTCATGAAGAGAGACAAAGGAGAAGTTTCCAGGCCTTTTGTGGAATTCATAGTACAGGTATTTACTGAGCACAGATGTGATGCTGTGGGTTAATGTGCCAGCCTGCAAAGCCATTTGAACTGCAAGGTCGGCAGTTCAAGCTCACCAGCTGCTCCTCAGAAACCCTATACAGGGTCGCTATGGGTCGGAACCAACTCAACGGCACTTAACAACGACAACAACAACATTTTGTTGTAGTCTCTGTGGATTACTACTAAACTGTTGTTGTTGTTGTTAAGTGCCATCGAGTCGGTTCCGACCCATAGCGACCCTGTACAGGGTTTCTGAGGGTGTAAATCTTTACAGGAGTAGAAAGCCTCATCTTTCTCCCGTGGAGCGGCTGGAAGTTTCGAACCGCTGACCTTAAGGTTTGCAGCCCAATTCGTAACCACTACGCTACCAGAGCTCCTTACTAGCCATACAAAAATCCCTATTCTTAGGGGGAAGCAATCAGTAAATGAACAAGTAGATTATATAATGTATTTCTAGAAGGGAGTCCTGGTGTGGTGCTGTAGGATAAGCATTAGACTACTGATGGGTCAAACCTACTCCTTGGGAACTCTGTACAGAATTGGTGTGAGTCAAAACGGGTTGAGCAGCACTTAACAACAACAACAACAACTTCTGACAGAGAAAGAGCAGAGGAGGGGGATGAGGAGTTTGGACAAGTGCAGCTTCCAAGAATGGGGACATTGGAGCAATGTTTGAAGGAGGTAAAAGAGAAAGTCTTCTGAATATCTGTGGTAAGTACATTTCAAGCAAAGAGGGAACAGCAAGTGCAAAGGCCCTGAGGTAGAGGCATGACAGGTTTGTTCAGGGATCAAGAAGAAAGCCAGTATGACTGGGACCCAATTAGAAGAGAATCACAGGAAATGACCTACAAGAGTAGCTGGTTAAAGGCAAGACCAGGGTGATCAGCAAAAGCTTTTTCTTTTATGTCTGGAGCTGAATAATTAATTATAAGGAAAGGCTTATTAAGACTATTGGAGAAAGAACATACCATATCAAAGGTTGTCCAAAATCTGTGTTATTAGAAAGAGAATAAAAAGAAAGCACACATGAATTGGACACCTGCCATGTGCCAAATATTACGAGGTGTATGTTGCTCCTGGGTGCCATCAAATCGGTTCTGACTCATAGTGACCCTGTATACATGCGGCTTCCAACCTTGCAGCCACCAACATGTAACCCCCTACGCTATCAGATCAGTAACACAGTAGGTTAACAGGTATGTTGCACTTGTTGTTAAGTGCAGTGGAGTCTGTTCCAACTCATAACTGCCCTGTATAGGGTTTCCGAGGCTTTTAAATCTCATCGCTCTACCATGGAGTGGTTGGTGGTCTCAGACCACTGACCCTATCTGAAGCTCAGTGCCTGTCTGATAGAGCCATTGTACTACCGTAAGAGGTACATAAATATATAGCCGAGCGGAGTGGGTCCGAGCCAGGCTGCTAATGTCATGGTCAGCAGTTCACAACTACCAGCGGTTCCACGAGATTATAGGCTTGGAAACCATAAAGGTTCGTTCTGCTGTGCATAAGGTCGCTATGAGTCGGTGCAGACTCGATGACACCTAACAATAAATGAGTTGGAATCGACGCCACAGCACACCACCACCACCACCATAGAAGTATACGTATAAATATACATGTATATATGTAAGGAGCTCTGGTAGCGTAGTGGTTACAAATCGGGTTGCGAACCGCAAGGTCAGCAGTTCGAAACTACCAGCTGTTCCACGGGAGAAAGATGAGGCTTTCGGCTCTCGTAAACATTTACAGCCTCAGAAACCCTGTATAGGGTTGCTATGAGTCGGAACCGACTCCACAGCACATAACACAACATGTATATATATAGATATATATGGAGCTCTGGTAGCATAGTGGGTAATGGATCAGGCTGCTAACCTCAAGCTCGGCAGTTCGAAACTACCAGCTGTTCCACGGGAGAAAGATGAGACTTTCTGCTCCCGTAAAGATCTGCGGCCTCGGAAACCCTGTGCAGGGTCACTATGAGTCGGAACCGACTCCATGGTACTTAACAACAACAACATATATATTGTTGTTGTCGTTAAGTGCTGTTGAGTCGGTTCCAATCTACAGTGACCCTGTATAGGGTTTCCAAGGAGTAGTTTGTGAGCTTGAACTGCCAAACTTGCAGTTCAAACAGCTTTGCAATCTGGCACATTAACCCACGGTGCCACACATATGTATATACAGTGGTGGTGGTTATGTGCCATGGAGTCGGTTCCAACTCATAGCAACCCTGTGTAGGGTTTCCAAGGCTGTAAATCTTTATGGGAACAGAAAGCCTCATCTTTCTTCCATGGAACTGCTGGTAGTTTCGAACTGCTGACTTTGAGATTAGTAGCTTGCCTCTCGTAACCACTACACTACCAGAGCTATACATAGTCCTAGTGGTGTGGCATGTTGGAAAAATGGATAAGTACTGGACTGCTAGCCTTAAGGTTTGTGGTTCAAACCTACCAGTTGCTTCTTGGAAACCGTATCAGGTCACTGCAACTTGGAACCAACTTGACAGCAGTTAGTAACAACAACTATGTATGTGTGTGTGTATGTGTTTATGTATGTATGTGTATATATCATATATATATATATATATATATATATG